TATCCATTCAACCATCCAACAGCTCAACCACCCAACTATCTATTCAACCATCCAACAGCTCACCCACCCAACTATCTATTCAACAATCCAACAGCTCACCCAACCAACTATCTATTCAACCATCCAACAGCTTATTCACCCAACTATCCATTCAACCAACTAAAAGCTCAACCACCCAACTATCTATTCAACCATCCAACAGCTCACCCACCCAACTATCCATTCAACAATCCAACAGCTTATTCACCCAACTATCCATTCAACAATCCAACAGCTTATTCACCCAACTATCCATTCAACCATCCAACAGTTCATCCACCCAACTGTCCATTTAAGTATCCAACAGTCCATCCACCTAACTATCCATTCAAGTATCAATCGCCTACAGTATCGTGGTTTCCTGTGTTTGTCTTGCGCTTCTCGGGTGATTTGAGTGATGGGTTTATTCATCTTTTCGAGGGTTTCAGCTGCACCATTTATCCATTTCTTTCTTGCCCTTCCTCTCCCCTTCCTCCAAGATGCTCTACTGAAAGAAGAAAAAATCTCATTTGCAGCCTGGTCTGGCTGCATTCTCACCAGATGGCCTAACAATTTCATTCTTTTCTGTCAGTATAATCCAGACATGGTCTTATTCCAACTTTCTCTCTAATGCAGAGGTATTCGTGACTGTCTCGTTAAGTGTTATACAAGATCATGAAATTGTCAGGAAAGAACAACCAAAGACTAAAAAGCAACAGTGCTAGAACCTGATATACTAATTACTGAAGTAGTTAAAGTCATTAGGCTGTCCTCCAAATATAAAGCACCAGGAGCTGGCAGACTACCAGCAAAAATAATCCAAGCTGCAGTTGAAAGTAACATTAGATGGCTCCATTGAATATTCCATGCGGCATGGGTACAACAAACTGCTCCCATTGACTGGCAACATGCAACAGCTGTACTATTGTGGAAGAACAAGGGACGCAAGCGAGAAAGGAATCAATATCGAGGCATTTCTTTTTTAAGTCATGTTTGGAAAATGTATGATAAGATAATGGAAACGAGGCTGCGACCAGTGATAGAACCACAGCTGCCAGAAGAAAAGATGTGTTTCAGAAGAAATAGAAGCTTCATAGATGCAATGTTCACACTTAAACAGTTTATAGAAAAGAACATCGAATATGGTCAGAACTTATTTGTAGCATTTGTAATATATATATATATATATATATATATATATATATATATATATATATATATATATATATATATATATATGTTATTCCTTACGTCCTTTTAGGACGTAATTTTTTGTTATTTGAAGCCCCACTCTGGCTTTTGCCAGGGGCCGTAATATAGGCAGGCCATCAATATGGCCAATTGTCTGAACCTCGGTTTCTGGGACCTCTCCACGGTGATCCTCATCCACATGGTGGCACCTTGTGTCATCGGGTGTTTATCGCTTGTGTGATGTCCTGGTGGGGTAGAAAGTCAGTCAGTCAAAAAAAATATTTCCACAGTTTCGATAGACAACAACATTACAAAGTAATGGCTCGATATGGAGTAAGTGAACACCTCATTGAAGTTTGTAAAAGCTAATATAGCGATTGTAGAAGAGTAGTTCGAATAAATCAGGGAACATCTGGAGTAAGACAGGGTTGTGTCTTACCACACTTCCTATTTATCACCTACATTGACAGATAAGGAAGGATGCCAGGCCGAGGAACGAAAATAATAGTAACATAACGAATTACTCTTTGCCGATGACCAGGTCTTGACTACAGATACAGCCATGAATTTGCAACAGCATCTCACATCCAACAATGAAGAATGTAAATCAAATAATATGAGAATCAACACCGAAAAGACGGAAGTAATTCCAATAGGAAGAAAGAAGCAGGATTTAAACATGGTACTAGAGCATACATATATTAGACAAGCATCTGAATGTAAATATATTGAAACAATTTTGACTGAAATGGATAAACTGGAAGAAGAAAAAACATCCGAGGCAGCAAAGCAGGCCAGGCATTGGGACAGCTAGCTCCCCTCTTACAGCGTAAGGCAATCCCAATCAGCACAAAGATTCATCTCATACAAAGCCTATTCATTTCCACCCTATGCTACCAGTGCCAGACATGGTCACTCACAACAAAAGCAAAAGAAAATTAGTAACCATGAAAGTATTATCCGAGAATGACTGTAGGAGTGACCAGAAGCGATAAAATTACGAATAAGGTCATACGAGATAAAGTCGGCACAGAACCAATTCTAAATTACATAAAAAGACAACAAATATCAAATGGTTTGCCTACTTGGAGAGAATGCCTTCTGATGCTATACCATACACGACACATACAAAATGAGAAGAGGGACGTATAGCAAGAGGTAGACCAAGATCAAGATTTGAAGATAACACCAGAGAAACTCTACAGCACCATGATATGTCTATGGTCGAAGCAGCCAGAAGAGCAGAAAGCAGAACCGTATATCTCCAGCGACACCAGAAGCTATACAAAAGGACGAAAAGAAGAAGAAGGAGAGAGTGAATTCAAACCCTCTTAGTTTGTGGAATGCTGATGCATGATAAGGCACACGTGGTTAGTGCCTTGTGTAAGAGCGTGTACAGTTCGGGGGGGGGGGGGAGCAGATGGATCACCACAGTCTGGGGAGATTGATGCGGGGTGGGGGGGGGGGGGGGAGGTTCTGGCAGATGCTCGAAGCTCAGAGGAAAGGCAAGACGGACGTTTAATCAGAATGCTACTGGCACCATTAGAATCGGAACTCTTCGCTGGCTGCTGAAGACGGGGACGGAGCGCTTATGGGAATGCCCCGAGTGCTGTGATATCGGTTCTTGAAACAAATCAAATCCCCTAGCATATATGAATTACTCTTTCCATAATGTGTAAATTACTGTCTTAACGGTATGTGTGCATTGTTTTCTTAACAGAACGTGTGAATTACTGTTTTAACGGTATGTGTGAATTACTGTCTTTCGCTATTTATGAATTACTGTCTTAATGCGTGTATTTACCACCTTCTCCACGATGCTAGGCGTATTAGGCAGATAGTGCTAGACTTCTATCAAGTGCACCAACTGGCACTCTGTGCGTTACGTGGTCAACCTCAAACTGCCTTTACTTCCAATGACCATCTGATGTCCATTTAAAGCTGGGTCGACTTGGGAGCCAAGGTGAATTAGGGATTTGAAAAGAAAAGTCCAACTTCGTATTTGAACCCACGTCATTCGGATGCATAGGCTAGCTTTTAGTCACTACACCACAGGCTACATTATACAATATGAGGCTTGTTTAAGGTTAGACTAGCATACATGGGTATCAGCAAGGCTGCTCATATAAAGGTAAATTAATAGAGAACTCCCTGGGAGACACAAATCGTGCTTACTTGCTCAGGATACTAAATATGGTGTATGAGTTTAAGATGATTATTTACAAAACCATGACACTGGGATACAGACTGGTATCAGTGAGACGACAAAACCATGACAATGGGCTACAGCCTAGTATCAGTGAGACGACAAAACCATGAGACTGGGCTACAGCCTGATTTCAGTGAGACAACAAAACCACGACACTGGGCTACAGCCTGGTATCAGTGAGACGACAAAACCACGACATTGGGCTACAGCCTGAATGCACTGAGACGACAAAACCACGACACTGGACTACAACCTTAGACGGGTGACTTACACACTAATGATACTTTACTGTGACTGTCCTTATACAATGACTGTGATGAAATGTAAATACATGTGAAAATTGTGACGTGTGATATGACTTGTCTATATAAAAATAAAATGTATAATGACGTACTTTTCAATACCCTTGTGATAATTAACATGCCTTGTCTGTATGTAAACAAAATGCATTGTTGTTAAATATACTAAAATTACAACGAACTATAAAGTGTCAATCTATATAACTGATCCTTTTTGTCTCTACATTGTAAAACTGTAACTACTGAGCACCTTGTGAATATCCATGTATTTTATGCTCTATATAGCACTGAAACTGAAATACCTATTATTAACATAAGAATATGCCTATTTGTTTGTGGTCAGGGAACTACAGGGAGGAGGTGGTTTATTTTTTTAAACTAAAAGTTTTCTTTTTATTTTCTAAATTTAGTATGTTAAAAAAGGCGATATGTGTGTAATCATATGACTTGTTTATGAACCCTTCCTGATTTTATAGCTAATACTACATTTGCCAACCACATTTGTCAGATATTTAGTTTCGTCCCTCTTAGGACGAAATTTTTTTCATTTGAAGCCCTACTCTGGCTTTTGCCAGGGGCCGCAATATAGGCAGGCCATATATATGGCCAAATGTCTGAACGCGGTTTCTGGGACCTCTCCACGGCGATCCTCATCCACATGGTGGCACTTTGTGTCATCGGGTGTTTATCGCTTGTGTGATGTCCTGGTGGGGTAGAAATTCAGTTCAGTTCAGTTCAGTCAGTCGACTTCTGGCATCCATGCTGTATCACATAGTGTAACA